GGGCGTATACTCCAGCTTGAAGGGATAGTGGGGGGAGACTCGGAACCGGAGCTCCCGGACCTTCAGCTCCAGCACGCGGCGGATCCACTTGTTGCCTTGCAGATCCAGATCGAAGTCGCAGGAGTCCTGATCCACATCCAGATCGAAGTCGCAGGAGTCCAGGAGCGGGCCCCCGCCGCGGACGCGCAGCAGGCCGTCGACAAAGTCGCGGAACGCGTCGGCGCCGCCGACTAAGCGGGTGGAGCAGGCGAAGCGAAGGGCGGGCGCGGACCGCCAGCGGTTGCGCCAGCTCTGGGCGAGAACGCACGTGCGCACGGCGTCCCGCGCCGGCAGGAGCGAGAGGATGTGGTGGAGGACGTCCTCCGGGAGGTCACTGATTCGGTCAGCCCCACTCTCCATGAGAGTCGCTCCGGTCTCGGCCAGTCGCTCCGTCGAACAGGTGATGTGCGCCGCGAGGTGGAGGGCGGAGATGAAAGATACGGTGTGAGTGTGGTTCCTCACGTTTGGTGTCTCCGTGTTTTGTTTCCCACATGATTCTCCACGTTTTGGGGCTCTCGAGCGGCGGCTCTTGTGTGCGCGCGTCTGTGTGGTGGCGTCTGTGGGTTCTGGATTTTCCGTTTTCTCTTTTTTCGGAAAATTCCTTTCTTTTCTGTTTTTTCAATAATATAAACACTCATATATTATTTACATATTATTTATTTCTTTTATTCCGTAACCACAAGAAAGCATGAGCAAGATTAAGGCTCCGTTTGGCAGGGCTTCTCCAGCGGCTTCAGGAGCCATTTGGAGCCGTTTTCTGCTAAACGGGGTAAAATGAAACGGCTCTACCGATGAAGCCCCTAAAAACGTGCTCTCACAGAGCTTTGGGGTGGGAAGGAGCCAAAATAGTGGCTTCTCCCGGCTCCTCCTCCAGGCCCCTAAAAACATGCTCTCACAGGGAAGCCATTTTGCCAAACGGTTTACCAAAACCGCTTCAGCTCTACCGGTGGAGCTGTTCGTGGAGCTGAAGCCAAAAAAAAAATGGCTTCACTAGTGAAGTGAAGCCCTGCCAAACGGGGCCTAAACAATGATAACTGATACACGCGCAGCGTTTTTAAAAAGGCATGCCTTTAAAAAACGGCAGTCTCCGTGCCGGGACATCCGGACGTACGAGCACGTCCGGACGTCTACGCTTACATTCGGTTTTGCACGCCCACATGGGGGCTATGACCGTCCGATCATCGCCCTGGCCTCCTGACCCCACACGGAGATCGCTCGTATCCCCTCTACTTCCCTCACTTGGGCGTCTACTGCGGCAACTGGGTCCTAGTAGCAACACCTGATCTACTTTTGAAAACATCCGGATAAAACATTTGCAACATACGTCTGAAGACAGATGAAATACTTGAAACATGCATATGAAACACTTACAAAAACACCTGAAAACATTTGAAAAGCCATTGCAAAACTATGTGCAACATCCAGATAAAACATTTGTAACATATGTGTGAAACATATGCAACATCCAAATAAACACTTTTACAACGTATGTCTGAAAAAAACAAATGAAACATTTGGAACAGGTGCTTGCAACATACGTGTATAGCCATTGCAACATGTGCAACATTCCGATCTACTTTTGCAATGGCCACATGAAAAACTTGCAACTTGCATATGAAACCCCTGAAACACTTGAAACATACGCTTGCAACATCTAGCACGACATTGTAGTGGACGGCGACCACCATGTCAGGCAAAGCCTCGAGGCGGTCGCGAAGTACTTGAAACATACGCTTGCCATCTCTAGCCGCGGGAGGAGGTGTTGAGGAGGACGTCGGTGCCAACACTAGCGATGAGGCGGCGGATGTGCGGGAGAGGGACCTTTGTACTGGTACCGAAGTGGAAGCCATCCAAGGATATGAGGAACACCACGGGCTTGGGGAGAGCTTGGAGCGTGGTCGTGTGGCAGCAGCAAGGGCCACGGTGAGGAGTAGGAGGCGGGCGCCCAATGAGGGTTGGGGTGCGGCCACATAGGAGGAGAGGAGAGTGGAGGTGGGCCGCGGCGAGTCGCCGGGGTCCGACCCTCGATTGAGTAGGGCGGAGACGCCATTGATCGGCGATGCTTCGACTGCATGACTTGGGGAGAGTGGGAGTAGACTGGATCTAGCAGAAGCAGAACGTGCTGCTTGCTGCTGGAAGCTTGCGGCATGGGGTTTTTTTTAGGCGGCGTGAGAGTGTCAGATATTTGTTAATACGTGAACACTGTTAGCAATTTAAAAAACATTATGCACAGAAATTCCAATTGCTTGTAAATAAGCTAGGTTCAAAATTACCAACTGTGAAACCCTTGTTGAAAAATTATTTTAGAACCTAAACAAAATTTAAAAGAAGTTTTATTGTACATGATTAAATTAATATTTTCACGGAGAACTTTCGGTGAACCCGGTTAGAGCTTGATTTTCAGGATAAAACTTTAGAGTCATGCTCATTTAACTCTGGGGACAGCCGTGCACTCAAGCATATGAATTTGAAGGCCATGTTTTGTCGAATTTTTAACTACATCTCTCGAGCAATAACATCGGCAGGAGGAAACGGCACCGTCCTAGCCAAATCCTTCGTCGTAGCAGTCGAGGGCAGACACATTGGCCTGGTACTCCTTGCTCAAGCCAAAATTTGTATACTCTTCGAAAACCTCCGTCATAAAATTGTAGCAAATTTCCAAGGCTTTGCAAAGTGACTCCCGGCCCTTACATCGTCGCACCTGTTTTAGTGCAAGCAGCAATCGAAGGAATCACTCAAGCAGTACTACCAAAGATCAGGACACGTCAAGGCAAGAGCCCCAAATGTCTCGGAAGAAGTGGCAATAGAAGCTGTCATAAAAGGGCTCTCGATTGAACCCTTTGTATGATATCTGCCTAGGGAGAAGCCCCTAACCATTGAAGATTTATACAACGAGTTTGACAATTACTACAGGTCTAAAGACAACCTCAGAAACAGAGTCAAAGAGCATAATCAGTTTAGGGAAACCTCGCAGTCTCAAGGAAATCAACCTCAAGCTGAAGAGAACAAGCAGCAAAACAAGCTTCAAGGAAGGCAGAGTCAGTAGGTTTAGGGGTGGCATCTACCAAAAGATATATGGGCTAGTATGGTTTCAATGAGTCAGTTTTGCCTTTGGACCCATTTTGGTTGGTTCCAAATGGGCTGCCTCATCAAATATATGGTTTGGTTTGGTTTTGATTATTTCATTAGAGCAACTTCAGCTAGGGACCCAAATCGGGTCCACTTTTAATTTGGGTGCTCCCCTACTTTTGTTGGCTCAATTTTTTTTTACTTCCACTCCAACGGCAACACCAAAATTTGGTCCCCCAAATCTACTATGGTAGAGAATGACAGACGGGACATACTTGTCGTTGTCTCTTTCTTCTTCCTCCTATTAGGCAACGCCAGGAGGGAACCTGTCTGCATGAGCAGGGAGGGAGCACATGAGGCCGCTCCCAACGGCGGCGGAGGGAGGCGGGCGTCCGGGGATGAAGCCTGCAACGTCGCTCCCGTCGGTGGCAGAGGGAGGCGGGCGAGGTAGCGTCTGTTAGTGGCGGAGCTAGGAGGGAGCAATTGAGGCCGCATCTACCGCCACCGTACCCGCGTGCCCAGCCAGGGCCACTCCCGCGTGCCCGCATGGCGGGGCAACGAGCCCGTGTGGTGGAGGGTTGGGGTGCGCCCGCACGGTGGAGGAAGGCCGCCGAGGGGGTGGGGGGGGGACGGAGCGAGGAAGGCCGCCGGAATTCGAGTACAGTTTTTATGGTACCATGGATCCACTACTCGTCACAAGTTTTTTTTCTTATAGTAGGTGTGATAATCCACTTGTCTCTTACTATATTCTTCAATGAAATCATATTATGTTCGCTCACAATACTAAAGCCCCATTAGGAATATGGGATTTTTCCCCGTTTCTTATTATGTCTTTTCTCTGAAAAATAAACTAATTCATGTGAAATTCTACATGCGTTTCAAAAGGAGCCCTAAACATTCAGACTCAACCAAAAAATGTTGTTCATCTTGTATCATCCCACCTTTTAAATTTAAGTCCATTTTTCCGTCTTGTACACGTCTTTCACTAGTATGATTTCACCCAATTTACCACACAAAAATTTAGAGCTCTGCTCGTTGATGGCCTAGTTGAGATGTGACATGCAAGGGAAGTTGGTTACTAGCAAGCATCCATGAGCCATGATGATCAGGTCGTACCCATATTACGCATGAGCGATCATCTCAACCATCTAATCATTCGTCCACTTGTTATTGTTAACTACTCCATCTACTTGCTCACCTTGCATCTCCTAGCTCAAAAATAATCCAATTCTGCTCTATTCATTGATAATGTCGCAAAAAATGGTATTTTAAGTTTTTGCACTAAGGCAATGTAAGCAACTTTCCGACTAGCCATTTCCTCTTGTTTTCCATCTAATTGCTCCTTTACTACTGGGTGTGCCACGGTTAAGAGGAAGCACTATATAGAGCACATGCCAGTAATGATGAAATACTTGGTAGGTGTATATATTGAAAATATGCATTACTCTATGGATCACATACCCTATATCTTTGTTGCTTAGTATCTCATTGATATATGTGGCACAGCAATGCAACCTAAATGCAAGAGATAAAAAGTAACATGTTTCAATGGAAAAAAAGTTCTGTCAACGAATTGTAGGCACGATAAAATCATACATGATGGAAAGCATGTATGGATATTACACTAACTGACATTGATTCACATATTAAGTGTTCATCCCCTGATCAAATATCTCGTAGGCATCATGTTACACATTGTGCATTAATTAAGCAACAAATCAGGAGAAGCATGTATACATTCTACTAACCAGACAGGCTCACTGAACTAAACCTAGAGATGGAAGGAAATCAAAGCCACCAGTAAAGAGGGAGGGGGGTGAATGTCTCTTGGCAGTCGTCAAAGCAGTGCAGAGAAGAAGTCTAACTGACTGGTGTCAATGGCTTCGTGACCACTATAAGGAGAAGCAGACACTATTGTACACCCTGATGGTAGTCTTTGTATCTGATTGCTGCAGAGCAATGTCAATTACCAATAGAAGAAATAAAAAGGTGCCATACTTAATGGTGAAAGGGACTGTATGATAAACACTTTCACAGTGGCATCCTTGGTTACTGTAAAGTTGCAGAGGTGCATCAATTTCATTGAATGGTATAAACTTAAAATGATGATTCCAAAAGTGGTCGACACAGAAAGATTGATGATGCAATTAAGGCATGATAAGTTTATCTTGCAAAGCCATTAACAAAATGTGATGCAACTAATTTGTGACGCAAGGTAAACTACATTGGCATAACAGGGCATGAGGTTCCTATAGACAAAGTCAGAAAACACAACTACATAAGCATTCCAATGTTCCATTTACCTTTAGTAATCTACTAGAGTCATCAACGGCCTGGCACTTCTCACTTCTACTTGGAGTTGATATCAGTACACACAAAATTAAAACCTGTAAGAGATACAGGGAAAGAAAAGAACAATTAACATGGAGAGAAGATTTGGGACAAATTAATAAGAGCCAAACTTGGACCTGCATGTTCGAAGATCAGAAAACTAGATGATGTTGAGATAATTTTGTTGTGGTTTTTTATATGTCAAGTTCCTAAGGAAGTGCATATGTGCACAAATATAATGAACTGGCACACACAGGATGTAATGTAAGTACAATGGCAATACAAATCAGGAGAAGCATTATCTTCAATATAGAATCAGAGTTTGACATGTTTATTGTATAAGCAGGATCTGATGGCAGCAAATTCAATCAAAACGGACTATATAGAGGCAGAAGAGCATTCAAAACAGTTATGATAGTGCTAGTCTAACAATGAATTCTGATGGCAGCAAATTCAACCAAAATGGACTGAATAGAAGCAGAAGAGCATTCCCAACAGTTCCAGATGATAGTGCTAGTCTAAAAATGAACACAAATTGTAAATCTCAACTATACAGCAAAATGCGATAACATAAATTGTGATAAATCAGAACAGACATACTTGATTACCGATGACACTTGGTTTTGTAACACGTATGGACAACTACACAAAAGAATCATGACAGTACATAGATAACTTACAACCTGAACACCGAATTCTGATTTTCCACCATGGTATGCCATTAGCATACAAGACCTTGAAGACTTTGAGTACTATCCCATCAACATCTTTGCATATGATTTCAACAATCTGAAGATGGCTAGGTGCAATCAACTTTTCCCATGGATTGTAACTTCCCTCGGTTTCCATTAAGGACTTGTGTTCCTGAAGGAAATGAATTATTTAATCAATTAAATAATAAAAGCAAAATAAAGACTAGATATATGGTACGGAGTAATAAGTTAATGACAGCACCTTTGGAATTTCAAGAGTAAGCTTCTCCAGAAGAGGACTATGGTGGCGGATCCAAATCAGTGGACTGAAGTCAGTAGACAAAAACCATTTGCTAAGTACCAAGGTCTTTAACTTGTTAAATGCTGGGCACCATTTCAAATCCCTGTTGAAAACATACTGGGAAAAGTACAAGGATGTAAAGTCAAATAATGAATACCATGAAAAAAATATTACAAGCTTCAAACACATCCTGGTTAGTAAGTCAGGTTAAAAAAGGTTTAGACTTCATATCTTTTGTAGATGTGCATCTAAACTAATATATACAAAAACAATCCGCTGTTTCCTAATCTGAGCAACACATTCTGAATCTAAGATCACAAATCGATAACTAGGTCTCTCATTTTTAGTTCAACAATATCAGTAACGGCAGAAGAACACAAGTTTCAGTAATGAACCACAGGTGATGTTCGATTGACATCAGAGCATTTGAAAGGAACAAGTGAAACACAGCTATGTACGTCAACACAATTGCAAAATCAAAAACAGGGGACGCAGCTGCGAGCATACCATATCAGGATAAGCTGACAAATTCAAGTATGTCGCTTCAGCCAAGCCTTGAAGAAACACGCTGCCGCTGCCGGAATCATGATGACCATGGTAATAAAAACAACAACAACAGTCATCATCTCCACAATCTTCCAATCGACCATTTATACATCGATCATCGCAAACATGATCATGATCGAATCGAACTTTTGCAGTTTCCAAGTACGGCATTCTTTCAAGGATTGGAGCCCTTCCGGAATTTGTAATGAACTCGAACGAGACAAGGCTGGGGAACGACATCTCAGTGCGGCATTCGGGATAAAAGCAGCAGTATTTGATACTCAGATGCTTCAGGGAGGGGGAACGCATTTCCAACGAACGAACGTGGGACGCCTCCATCTTGAGACTATGCAGCGCGGGGCATCCAGAGAAATCAAGATCGATGCCGTCGACACCCGTGAGCTCCAAACTCGTGAGGTGCTGGGAGGAGAGGGGCGTATCGTCGAGCTCGAAGGGCCTGCGGGAGAGGTTGGAGGAGACTCGGAACCGGAACTCCCGGACATTGAGCTGCAGCACGCGGCGGATCCAGCTGTTGCCGTGCAGCTCCAGATCGAAGCGGCAGGGGTCCAGATCCACCACATCCAGATCGAAGTCGCAGGAGCGTAGGCGCGGGCCCCCGCGGCGGACGCGCAGCAGGCCGTCGACGAAGGGGGCGAAGCGAACGGTGAGCACGGCGTCCCGCGCCGGCAGGAGCGAGAGGATGTGGTGGAGAACGTCCTCCGGGAGATCACTGATTCGGTCAGCCCCACTCGCCATGGGAGGCGCGCTGGTGTCGGCCAGGCGCTCCGTGGCAGACGGCCGCGACGACTTCTACGGCGTTGGGACGATTCTGGCGACGACCATCGACGAGACCAGATCGAGTGGAGGGAATGCGCAAGGACGCGGCGAAGCTGGTGGCGGGAGGAATTGGACGGGGGTTGCTCGACGGCGGCGGATTTTTGGCCGGCGCTTAGACGGTCGGAGACAAAGCAGAGCGAGAATGGGAGAAAGAGACACGGAAGGCGGCGGGGCTTATCCAGGTCGAGCGCGCAGGTGAGGATGAGCCGATGAGGACATTGCCAGCTCCTTCTTGAATCGAGCCACGCAAGCTGCTACGTGTCCATGCGCGCGAGCACGGCGGAAGGCGGCGGCCGACGGTGAAGCAGGCAGGCTGCTGTGCTGCCAGTCGATGGAGCAGAGCTCCATCTCCATGACTGAAACCGGCCAGTTCAACCCTCTCTAACTCTCAACTTCGTGTATAACCAACATGATACATCTTACTAAAAGTTGTTCATTGATCCATGCTCTACAACATTGCTCTAAGGTTCATCATGAAAAGATCAAAGGTTTTTTAGATCCAAGGTTTCGAAGTTTGGTAAAATATTCTGAATCTTGATTTAGTTTCAGAGTTCAGAAGCAATATTGATTAACCAACTTTGGTTAACTAATTAAAGGTTCGGAAAATCTAGTTTCCGAGCGCGCACGTGCTGGAGCTGCGGCACGTAAACGCGCACCCACTGTTCGATTCGTGCTCGTGCTCTCCCCGGACGTCCAATTCGTGCTCCCTCGCCCGCGCCCGCGCCATGCCCGGCCTCTTCTTCCCCAGCTATGACGGCGGCTAGGGTTGGCCCGCGCCACCCCCTTCTTCCCCAACTCCGGCGGGCTTAAAAGATAACGGGCTCGGGGGAGGCAGGTCAACCAGGCGGTGGAGACGGCGGGAGGGCGGCTTTAGGGTCCTGGCAGCGGTGGAGGCGGCCGAGCCAGATCGGGTGCGAGCGCGCCATGGCCGGTGCTGGTAAATAAGCTTTTGAGATACAGGAATTTTTATTCCGGCTCCTGCAAGAGTTTTGCACCCAACCATTCATTGTTACAAAGCTGATGTAGAAAAAGCTCACAAAAAGCATCAAAGGTATGGGAGACTGTATAAATAAATTAAGCTCTAAGCCTATTAGAAAGCAACCATCCGTTCTTGGCGAAAATTCCCATTGCTACAATCTCCATCACTCGACATGCGCTTTTCAAATTTGGTTGGTCGGCCTCCTTTTGAAGTGTGGACCAGAACTGCGTCCAGTAAGTCGCCCTGAAAATAACCTGTACATAGGAGTAAAATATTTTTTTGTCAAATATTACATCATTTCTGGTCAACCATATAGACCAAAATATTGCGCTTGCTCCTACTGGAATCTGAGGTCGCAACTTTGAGTCTACGTGTTGTAACCATGTTTGGAAAAAACTAGTCGGTTGTAAACCAAAGGCTATGTGAGCAATCCTCCAAATAAAGCGTGCTACATGGCACTCAAAAAATAAATGTTGAATGGTTTCTTTGTTGTTACAAAAACAATATTTTTCATCACCCTTCCAATTTCGTTTTAAAAGATTGTCTTTCGTTAAAATCACCACTTTTATTAAGAACCAAACAAAAATTTTGACTTTTAGGGGTACCTTGAGCTTCCAAAGGGCTTTATTTCGAGGCATAGCTATTTGGTTTACTATTCTTTTATACATTGATTGAACAGTAAACACCCCTTGCTAGTAAGAGTCCATTTAATAGAGTCTACTTGTTCATCGAGTTGCACAAAAGCCACTCTTGTGACCAATTCATTCCATTTAAGTAGTTTATCCCCCACTAGTGTTCTGCGAAAGGAAATATTAAGAGGTGTGGTACTGAAGACCTTAGCAATTGTTATATGTTTCTTTCTTGTAATGTTATTTAAGGATGGGTATTGTGCTTTGAGGGCAAAGTTTCCTCACCACTTATCCTCCTAGAACCTAACTTGGGCACCACTATGAATGTTAAAGATGGATAACTTAAGCTGGCTTGAAAATTACGAACCGTGAAAGCCTTATTCTAAAAAACTATTTTGGAACCCAGACATAATTTTAAAAAAGATTTCTTGTGCATGATTAAATTAATATCTTCACGGAGAACTTTTGGCGAAACCGGTTAGAGTTTCATTTTTATGATAAAACTTGCGTGACGGCTGTGCACTCAAGCAGATGAATTTGGCCATGTTTTGTTGAGTTTTCAACTACAACCCTCAACTCGAGCATAACACCCGAGGTGTTACGTTACCCACTCCAAAGCCAATCGACCACAAATCCTCCTTGTCTGAAAGCCTTCGAACATCTCTCTGACCAACAACTTATAAACCATAACTCTACCCCAAGTACAATGACCAAACCGACCCAAATCCTTTGTCATAGTAGCTGAGCGTGCGCGACTGCCGATCACGAGCACGTGTTCCCCAAATCCCTAGCTGCCACTGCTTGCCCGAAGGGCCAAGAGGCCTCAAGGCTGCACGATGGGCCATTGAGCCTTGTTGGCAAGATGGCCTAGCAGCACGCTGTGTTCGTCCCGTGCCTCCCATCTTCAACCTCTCGTCGTCCGGTCGCGTCGCTTGGACTCTTAGAGCCTGCGCGGACGCTGCCGTGGGCCAAAGGTTATTAGGTTCCTAGGGGCGGTACACATCGGAGGGGAGGTAGGGCGGATGTCTTCCATCACTTCGTGCGGCAGCCCTACTCGGTGCGGCTCCCCGTCCGTGTGTTTTAGGTACTACTGCTAGAGCAAACGACAAAAAATAAGTAGTACCAAAATAAGTGGCAACCCAAATCGAGAAGTAAGGAGTCTAATTTGGATAGTAGGAGATGCTCTTAGTGTGCGTGTGTTATGACATCTGTGTTGTACTATAAAAAAAACAACAAAGATATCATTCCGTCCTTAAAATCTATACCACTGTATTTCTCCACCAAATCCTATCCTAGTTGTCAAGAGCCTGTCAATGTCCACCGCGCGTGTGGCCAAGCAGATCACGGCGGGCTGCGACATCACGTTGTGAGTAAGATGCAGACAAAAGTAAGGGCCTGTTTGGATCCCAGTGACTAAACAGGGTAAATAAAGGGGACTAAAACAGCCAAACAACCCCCTACCTCTCATTAATGCACCGCACACCCACGCATGACTCCACCTCATGCGCCACCGCCACACCCACGTCAAAATCCACAGCGCACCCATGCCGGACTCCGCCACCGCAGCCATGCCGGACTCCACCGCGTACCCACGATGGACTCCATCGCCGCACCCATGCCGGACGTCACCTCATCCGCCGCCGCCGCACCTACGCCGGACTCCACCTCGGGCACCCGTGCGAGGTCGCGCCCAACATGCTGGCTGGCCGCTCCAGCCATGGCCAGCCACGCTTGCCCCTGCCAGATCCACCATCATGCACGCCTCCTCTTTCGGCCGCATCTACCATGGCGCCGTCGCCCATACGCTCCCCAGGCGCCATCGCTCAAGTGCACCCCCTGCAGCCGGCCACGCCTGCGAGCTCTAGCCCCAGCCGCGTGCGCCGTTGGAGAGGCCACCATGGCCGCGTGCGCCCATGCCGTCCTCGCCGCCCCCCTGCAGCATCCGCTTGGCTCCTCTCTCACCCCTTGCTCCACCTCCCGAGCCCCACCGCATAAAGATCTCGCCTGGCTGCCGGCACAGCTAGCCTGGCCGGGGCGCGGCCCCCTGGCCGCTAATGCAGCTAGCCTAGTTGGGGCGCGGTGGAAGAGAGGTGAAGGAGGAGCATTAGGGGTGTTTTGGTCTTTATACAATAGCTTCAATGGGTATTAGTCCCTCCATCCAAACATGGTTGGTACTAAACTTTAGTACAGGGACTAAATGATCAAAACATGCTCTAAGCATATGAGCTCTATAGCTAGCTACATGTGGCTGCCTCAGATTGAGGCGTGCAAAGGCATGCTGTGATTGGGTTTGTATGTGTATTATGCCGAGCATGCCTCATGCGTTCGTTCATACTTTCTCCGTCCATAAAAGAATGCAATTCTCACATTTCGAGAAGTCAAACAGTTTCAACTTTGACTAAAATTGTATTAAAATATACAAACATTCATGAGACAAAATAAGTATCATTAGATTAGTTGTAGAATATATTTTTGATAACAAATTAATTTTGAGACATAAATACTAATACTATTTTCTATAAACTTGGTTAAAGTTAGATTAATTTGACCGACACATTTTTCATAATTACATTCTTTCTTGCACCGAGCGAGTACAATACAGTTGCTGCTTAGCGTACCGGGGGGGGGGCGCCGGCAGAGCACGCGGCGGTCTCTATGCTCGGGCCGGATGCTCCTGTAGGGACGTGCCGAAAGGAAACACGCGTGCCGTCGTCACTCGTCAGGCAACACACGTGCCGTCACGTGCTCAGTCCAAAAGAAAACCATACAATTTATAAATGGGAAGCAGGGACAGCGAACTCTCATTTCGATGAAAACCTCACAAACAACAGATCTTCACACCCTTTTTCAGAGGAAAAAAATACCACTGTTGTACGGACAAAACAAGGAATCTGCCAACTTAAATATGATCTGATCATTCTTAAAATTACTGATAGGAGAAGCTAACAGATCTCTTACGCTAACGCAAAGGCATATACAGAGCGTTGTTACCTAGGGTACCTCGCCGACATCATCATCTCCTGCTCCAAACTGTACACTCTACTTGATTCCTCAAACCTTTGACCTTCATCGCTCGACGATGGACAGTTCATCAAAATGCTACCATTTCCGCCAGATTCCTCAGCTACCATATCATCTTTCTTATACTTCTTGGAACCCTGAAGCCCCTGAAGTGTATGTTCCACTTGTCGCATCGTTGGCCTCTCTTCACCTCTTAAGTTTAGACAGCATGCTGCAAGTGCGGCAACTTCTTCTACTTCTTTGCCTCCTTCCACTGTGACCTGTGGATCTATTATCTGAACCAGATTTCC